TATGGACTGACATTGAGTTTGTTAAGCGAAACAATGACCTTTCAATAATAATCCTTTGGAAGCGATTGATATTTAAATCTACCACTAAGGATAGAGCTTCAAGGACTACTAATAGCTCAGCCAAATTTGAGTCTTTGATCTCAATATTCTTCGAGAAAATCATCAAAATGTTACCATTTCAATCCTGAACTACTTCCCCTATGACTGCAGAGCCTAGTTTATTAGTAGCGAAATTGTTGACATTAATTTTCCAAACGACATGACGAGGGGAAGATCAAGAATTGAATTATGCTTATTAAAATTAAAATTAAAATTAAAATTTTAATATTTTATCAATAAATTATATGATTGTTGGTATATTTTTACCTGTTCAAGTCTCATGTATAATAGTCTAATTTGTTTTGGTTGAGGCATTGAATTATTATTCGTAACTTTGTCAAATTAGGAAGTTATGGAAAAAAAAATGGCAAGCTTATTTGACAAACTCTCTAATTTCTTATGTTTTGACCACCCATATACAGTTTTTTCAAAGCTAGCCCCTTATCAGCCCATTTGTCGGCTCAAAAATATTGTTCTTTCACGCAATATATATAATTTCATGATTAAAGACTAAAGCTTTGAAATATAGTCATTGATCAGTTCTAATTTTTGACTAATAATAAATATATTGCATGAGCCTCGCAAGCAAGCAATCAAATATCTATAAAACTTGAGGGAATTTACAATTTAGCTTTGACTGGTTTTTTGTTTTTTTAGGATTATTTGTTTGTATTTATGTGCAAGGAAACGCATGGAGAAGAAGAGTGAAATGTTGGGGAAATATTAGAATAGTGCGTATGTTTATGCTATTTTTTTAAAAATAAAATTGATATAGATAAATTATTTAATTTTTTTAGTTAAAATAAAATATATCATATTGATAATTTAAAATAAATAATTATAAATTATATATTCGATATAATTTTAATAAATTATTATTAATAAAACTTAAATTTAAAATTATTTTATAAAAAAATAAATTTTAATTAATTGAATTAATCATTTCATGATGATTTTAATCTAGGGAATGAACAATGATTGAAGAAGGGTTCCTACCATCTTGACTATTTCCTCCAATAGGAGGCATTTGAATTAGGTAGAAGTTTGAATAATTTGTTTTACTTTTATTGATTGAAGTGACTTTTTGGTTCATGCATATATACGATGAAGTGACGTTTTCGTTATGTAAATAGTTTTGGGGAGTCATTATTTTTAAATTATTAAAAATGATATATTTTATTTTAATACGAAAATTTGAATAAATTATCGATCTCATATATATATATATAATAGATATAAATTAAATTAAATAATTTATTTATTACATATAATGAGATAAATAAATTATTTAAATTTTTATTTTAAAATAAAATATATTATATCTAACAATTTAATCCTTAATTAGATTAATCTGGTGCAATCTTCGAGCATTAGCTGCACTGCAATGAATTTGGGGTAAGGACCATAAACAAATATATTAGTTTTATCCAAATTTTTTTATTGGTTTTTTATCCATGATATGCTAATGATTTTGTCTATCTAGTCGGGACGCAACTCTGCAAAAGTGTGCAAGGTCGATGGTACTTAATTAATTAATTAATAATTTCACAAGATTTTTTATCCTTCATAAATTTTGAGATTTTATATTTAAATAACTCAAATAATTAATATTGTCATTTTTCAAAGAGAAGATTTTTTATCTTTCGAAAAATTTAAAATTTTTATTTAAATAATTTAATTAATTCATATCATTATATTTTTTAAAAAAATGATATTTTATAAATTTGATGTCTAAAATCAACATCTATAATTTTTTGTTCTTAAATTATGATATTTCTTATAAAAAAATAATATAGATGAATTTAGCATTATATACGTGGTTTGTTATAGAATTTTTTTTTTTGCCTATGTTTTATTTTTCATATATTATAATTAATATAGAATTTTTTTATTAAAAAAATAAATAAATTACCAAAATATTAATGCTATAGTACCTCTTTCTTGTAACTAGCACAAGACAAAAGAAGTGCTTTATTATAAACCCACAAAAACAAGTGGAAATCAAATTCAATCACCGTATAATTGAATGAACGTGCATTCTAAATTTTGGGACGAAGTAGTTGAGATCTCTCTGTTTAAAAAAAAAATGACAGATTTTTTAGGTGGAATTGATCTAGCTAGCTAGCTGTCCAACATATAAATCTTGTAATTTCATGACAAGCTTCATGATCAAACTGCTTGCTATTTAACATTAGTCATCAAACATTAATAACATCATCAACGCATAAAAGACAGAAAGCACATTTGAAATTTGATGCATCATTCGAGCAAATCAAGAAAAAAAAAAACAACTTAATTGGGTGTTTATTTATTCCCTAATGGTTTAGGGAATATATCATTGATTGAAGAAAAAGAGGACCCATCTCCTTTGACATTCCATCCTTGAAGAATGGAATTGGTTTAATTAAAATAATAATTAGTACAATGAAATTAGGATTGTTTGTTGTTTATTGATGTAATTTTTTTTCTAACCTCTATTCATGCACGTAGCTAGCCGTATAAACCAAACAACTTGATAAATTGTAAGTTTGGTTTTAGAAAATCCACAAAAATCAAAGTATTAGGTTCAACACAAATTTTATATTATATATAAAATTTTTTATTAGATGAATGAAAGATTTAATTCAATTAATTTATATAATTATTTAATTCATTTTTAAAATATGATAGTTAGTAATATTTAAATGTTTAATCTCAATGATTATAATTTTTTTGTTTGAAAAATTATAATGTCCGATAATTATTTTAGATCTCGATTAATTCAAAATTGAGCTAATCGAATATCATAAGAGAAACGAATTTTTTCAGTATTTGTTTTTTTCATTTATAAGACTCAAAATCAATACTTTATTTAAAAAAAATTAAATTCCTTAATCACTCAAATTAATAGACATTAGTAGTTTTTTTTATCTTGAAATTAAGATTTTTTATATATGTAAAAATTCCTATACCAAACGTGTCCCATACTTCCAAGGAGTCTCCTAGCCCAACCTTGATGTTTACATTCTTACATTCCCTCAACAATTTTGTCTTCGTCACTTTATAGCTAGCTAGCTATGCCCTTTTTCCCTTTAGCATCGTGTAGACTGGAAATTACTCTTTATTTCTTATCCAAAGATGTCATCCATTTTTTCAGTCTTGGGTGTGAACTATATCTTATCCGGATCATCCATTCACCTAACCATCGATGATTTTCCATGGACTTTAGGCACTTTTTAATGCATCATATCATTTTCAATCCACACCCTTCTCTTCTCATTTGTAGTGCATATCATTCAGTCGGCAACAAATTAACTAGATATGCCAATTCAACTTGCATGTTTAAAGTCAAAATTAACTTTAAATTTAGTTGCGAAAATAAGAGAATTTACTGATAGGTTTCAAATTGAGTTGTAAGAAGATCAATAACTTTATAAAAAAAAAAATCCTTGAACAGTGATTTTACCAAATCATCATCCCAACAGTTATTCAAAGAACTAAGAGAAAAAAATCAGACCATAAAGTTAACTAGGAGAAACAAAGCACGTGTGGTTTGTATTTGCAATTGTCAACATTACTCGAATTTCAAGAAACGAGCAGTTGAATTGAAGAAATCAGAAACTTTCACATTTGGCTTTGTTTTTTAGTTTCAGGATTGGCACGTTGGAAGTTGGAAAAAAAAATCCCACGTTGTCCTAAAAATTAACAGTAAATTTGTAGCCATTCAACTGCTCGTTTGTCGATCTATCATGCAATGATGCAAGACATCATTTTGAAATTTTGATTCTGAATGCAAAAGTGGTCTAGCTTGTAGTTGTAGGTATCCTGTGGGTTGCATTCTCCTACAACTTGCTTCTTAAATTATTCATGCATTGGCAAAATAAGATATGGATCAACATTTTATCATTATATTTAATTTAATTTAAATTATACGTATATGTCATTGATATTGATCATATGTTAAATTTAAAATTTAATCAAATTAATTTATATAATTTTTTTTAAAATATGACATTTAATAAATTTAAAATTAAAATTTTAATATTTATAACGTATTTTTTTATTTTCATATTTTAATGTTCTTTAAAGTCTTTGAATGTGCTCATCAATTATTAGAATTTCAACCTTCATCTTGAAATTTTTTCAAATTAAATAATGAAGTGAACGACTTGAAATTTTGAAATAAGAAAAAAAATTTCTCTTCTTACGGAGCTTAAAATCAATGTGAGAGAAAAATCGCACCTTAAATTGCAAAAGTAAGACAGTATGTCGTGAAGAGCAAGACGGTTAAATCCTAAGGGTACTGTAAATAATGCCGAAAGAAGCCCCGCCTTCCGCATTACAAAACAAGAGCAGGTGATGGACAACCTAATAATAAATCGGTAAAAGGACCTATGCCCAATGTAGTCAAAGCACCGAAATCCCCAGTCCCAACCCAGCCAAAAGTTTTCAAAAATAAAACAAAAAAACAGACAAAGAACAGGACACTCAAAAAAGAACACAGCTGGCTGCGGATTTCCGGAGTATCAAACTTTATCGACCCTCAAGTGGACTTGACAAATCTTGCATAATGTCATGTAGAATATGTTATATTGAAATTAATATGAAAATTATGTCACAATTCGTATTTTTATAAAAGTATGAAATATATTTTTTAAATTTTTTATTATAATTTTTCATCACATCACTTTTATTTTAAATTATCAGATTTGCAATGAAAGCCCTATGATAGAATTGTCCAGATATAAACCAAATAATTGATCCAAAGATCAGAGAATGTCCAAGTCGACCTAAAAATAAGTTGAAAGTGTTGAATGGGCAGCCGCAGTTCCCGAGTTTCTAATCTTTTCCACAAGACTAGAAAACGTTTGAGTTCCCTTCAATTTCGAGCATTCAAATGGCATCGTTCACATACATTTCAGTTGTCGCAATCTATCTATAAATTATTGCATATTTCTCATTTGAAACATAATAAGCTGGTTATGCAGTTCCATTGTAACATCTGTTCCGATTAACTTCATCAATCTGAGGCATAGTTGCCTAGTAGGCTAGTTGAGATCATCTTTACAAAATATGTGAAAAAATCATGTCAACTTTGATTGGCAACTTTATTCCATAAACAAGGTTGATGAGCCGATGAAAGATCAGAAAAGAAATTGTATCCTTTACAGTAGTCCAGGACAAAAAGTTCCAAATTTCCCTCGGATAATGGTGACAAACATCAAACATCCACCAAAGCTATCAAAACCTTCCTGCCACATTTAAAACAATCATCATAAGCACAACTCATGGAGAAAGAAATACAAAACCATGAAAGCAATGAGCAATATGAAAACTAAAACCAAAAACGAAATTAATCCAAAATTGACAAATAATATCAGTGGAATGCATTATTTGCATCTAATCTCAAGATTGAAGCAACAAATATCATCAAGACAGGATATAACACAATTGCAGCGCATAATTTGCCTCTTTATTCTTCTATATGAAACAACTATAGTTGAAAGCCAATGATCCTTAAATTTGGATCATCCATCTTGTTGCCCATGTATACAGATTGCACGCTAGAGAGGCCTTATGCCCTTAAAAGAGAATCTTTATTCTAATGGATATTAATGATGGTGAGTATGGTACAATCATTAGGATGTACGATTGAACTACTAAAGTAGCATGGCCAATACATCACAACCTTATTCTCAAAAGACCAATATACCACAACGCTATAATGTCTTCCATATTTTCTCTTAACATAGCATGCACAATGGGGCTTTGGTGAAACTGCAATGCCAACTAACACACGTCACCAGCTTCTCTGTTCTGTAAATAAGAAGCTGGTGCTGCCTTTCTAGAGTATAAAGCTAAAACCAAAACTGACACTTGACAGTTCCTTAGTATGGATATAATACTTAATATTTGATACAACTATGGATGGCAAAGGGTTGGGTCAGGGCAGGTTTTTGCTCGCCCCGCACCAATCCGATTTCATAATAAAAAAACCCAAACCCAACCCAATTTTTTAAATACTCGAACCTGATCCGATTTTTGTATAAACAGTACTTGACCCGACCCGAAATTAATAAAATATTTTTTAAAAATATAAAATATTAGTTTTTTAAATATAATTATATAATTATATATAAATAAAAATTAAAAAAACAATTTTTAATATAATATCGGGCCGGGTTTGCCTAAAAACATGAACCCGACCCGAACCCGATTTTTCACTTAATAATACCCGACCCTACCCGCCCGAAACCCGAATTTCAAAAAAAAAAAACTGACCCTATGTGATCAGGTCGGGTCGAAACCCATCGGGCTCGAGTTGGGCTGCCAACCCTAGATACAACTGTTCTAGGCATCATAGCAATGGACTGGAAATTGGCGAATGTGATGTTAAGGATTTGGGTAAAACAAGAAATTCAAATTAATCACTAAAGAGCACTTCTGCATCCCTTTTAGCACATAAGGATCAAATTCCATAGTTCTCTAGCAGCCAAGCAATGTTGGAATTCCTGATGGTGTGCCTAACACCATTCTTTTTTAATATGTAAAGAAATTGTTTAAGAGGAGGGATCCACTTACACTAGTGTAACTCTTACACTTTTTTTGCACCCTTGGATCAAAATTAAATCTATGACTCATTTGAATCAAAATAATATTTTTTAATTAAGTAATTATAATCCAATGATACAAAAAAAGTGTAAGAGTTACACTAATATAAGTGGATCCCTACTCATTGTTTAAAAGTAATAATTCAACAGTAAGAATTTAAGTATTTTGTTTATTTTTAAATATAAATGAAAAAGGAAGAAGAAAGTCTAGAAATCCTTATTCAAATGAATCAATCATTAATATTGCTCAATGCTTGAAAAACAAAAGGGAAACTCTTTATTACTTCTTGATCATACATTGAAAGATGCACATATATGTATCTGTGGATCCTAAAATAGTCATCTGTCGAATCTTAATGAATCCTCCATCAGGTTCACAGTAAGCTCATAACTTTCAAAATCAACTATGTACTGAATCCTTGATTTCTTCACTTTACCTTACCCCCTACCAAACCCTATTTTGAAATTTATTATTCCAATAGTTTTGTTCTATTCTCAAAACCTTAAAGCAACCACTTTAAAGTGATTACCAGTTTCCATCTGACACATCCTACTAAACCTTTTGCTTGTTTGATGATAACTTTCAGCAAAATGTGTTCATTAGGAATTAGCACAGCTCAAAATGGTAGATCTAACACATATGACCTTGTTCAATGCTTGTTTGACAGTAACTTTCAGCAAAGCTTGTGCTTAGGAGTACTATAATGAGGGGAGAGAAAAACAAAAAAGATGAGTTTCACCAGTGTCCAGTTATTGAGCTTCTAATCTAGGAATTGTTGCAAGTATGAAAATTTTGTGCTTTCAGAATTTGAAAAGATTATATTTGTTCCTTTCATTAAGTTTGTTTTACTAAGAAATTATTTTCTATAAAGATTCTTGTTATGAAATGGTTCCATCCTCTAAACTTCTAAATTAAAGTACTTTCAAATGTTGATCAAACACTTCCATCCAGCTTAGAAATTCAACTGAGCACAATGCACTACAAAATAGTACCTAAGAATGAGCTCTTTACCATGTATTTTTTTTCAAGCTCAAAACAGAAGGTTGCACCTTCATCTGGAACTTGGATTTAAAACAGCAGCATAATCGAATTCATCAGCTCAGGCCTCCTAAAATATCTCACTAAATTTTGAATTGTACCAATACTACTTAAGGGAAACAACCAAACCAAATGATTAACCAGAACTCATGTTAAATAACTGGGGTATTCTGTTTTTGTACATCTGCACGTATAACCTCAGTGTGCTCCCCAGTTAAACTTCCTTCTTCTTTACACCGTAACCACACTATCTTATACTGAGCATAATCAATGTATTTCCATTGGCTAAACCTAAGGGAAACAACCAAACTAAATGATTAATCAGAACTCATGTTAAATTAGAAAGGGGTATTCCGTTTTTGTACATCTAAATGCATAACCTCAGTGTGCTCTCCAGTTAAACTTCCTTCTTCTTTACACTGTAACCACACTATCTTATACTGAGCATAATTAATGTATTTCCATTGGCTAAACCTACTAATTCCTTAAAATAAGAGAAAAGAACCTAAATATTAAAGCTAACTATTTTTGCAAGTAAAACTTCCTTCACAACAGGTCAAGAAGGTAACTGACAAAAGCACCATTTACACATCCAATTGCTTGCAAAACATAATATGCAATCTAATTAATCAACATCCAAAAACACTTGTATACATTAGCCACAACATTGCTACCTCAATCAAACCCATTTTTAGAGGTTGTACATCAATATGAAGTCCAGAATGCCTGTTGTTATCAATCTTCCTTCCAGAATCCCCATATTTTGGATAACCCAACAATATTCTAAACCATTAGCCAAGAACAACCTAATACCAATTCCAAAATCTTCAAAATGAAATGCTAAATTGAACACAATTCTATGGACTAATGACCCCAAAGCAAAAAGCCAAAAACCCGTTGATAAGGGTACATCCCGGATTCCCTTTTCTTTCCAATAAAATACCAAAAGAACCAAACGAAATAAACCCCAAAATCACTACACCCTGCTATTAATAGACCCAAAGAAAAAGGAGTTCCTTATAAACCAGTAAAACCCCTAGAAGTACTCATAATGAAGTGCCAAATTGTTAAGAAATTCATTAATTTCACATCCAACAAGAAAAGAGAAAACAGATAAATGCTTCAATTGAATACTAAGACCAAACAGGAAATTTCCATTGAACATTTAGCAGCAAACACTTGATTAAAACAAAGCCTTAAAAACAGTTAATACGATAATAAAAAACAAATTCCCGATCATGCAATAAACCATCTGGCAATTGAAAAAAACCCAAAAAACAAAACTTAACCTAGCTCAAAACCCCTAAGTTTCCTAACCTTAAAAACCTTTAATCTAAATTCAAAGAACCCATCAACAAATAATGCAGAAAAACATCAATTGCCAAAAACCCAATGACTAAAATCATTCAAAATTCAAAAAAAAAAAAAAGAAGAAAATTTGACTGACCATGGAGGTACTTTACGCATTAGCAGTTTTAGGAATAAGAGGAATAGAGCCGCCTTGTTTCCCAGCCTGTTTCAATTTGGCCTCTTCTTCACGGATCTTCTGCATCTGCAGCATCCGCTCCATGACGAGCTCGTACTCGCACTTCTCATAGGCGTGGCGTTCGATCTCGCATTTCCAAGGTAAGTAAAACTCGGCTTGGCGACACTTGTTGAGTGGGATGAGAAGGTGAGCGCATTGGTCTCGATATGGGATGGGTACCCTGTTCTCCACCATCTCTGCTTGGGTTGCTATCATCTTCTTCGATGAACCTTCCACTTCCATTTGTCTCTCTTTGCTTTGTTTGGAACAACAATTGGGTTTCGGGAAATGGTTTTTTTTTTTTTTTCCTTTTCTCGGACGCTCCAAGCTTGGTCGAGTGACTGCGGCGGTTCAGGAAATCAGGTCTTCTACATTTGCAATGCTTATGTTTTGTCGCTGTAAGGGTTCGCGGTAAAGCAGTAATGTTACACGCGGTAATTTTTCTTTCCCTTGCCATCTATTTATTTAGAATAAAAATCAACCGCTCTGTTTTACCCATATTTGTTTTTCCTTAAAAAAAAAGGTTAAAATCTATTTTAACTATGAGATTCAACGCAGAAAAGAAAGAAGGCTTTTCATCCAATAAGATACAAATGGAAAGATGGCCTACAATAGAAAAGCAAGCAGGCCCAGAATAGGAAAGAAAGATTAATGCTTTCAGAAGCAGCTCCCTTAAACCAATGAAATACAAGCAGTTGCTGCCCTTGTATTGAAATGCAAGCAGTTTTCATGTACAATAATATCTCAGCGGAATTTCTCTCCATAAGAGAAGGAAACTTAAGAAGACTTCTTCTGCTTGTACTTTGTAGCCCAGACTGAGTAAACCAACATATTTAAGAAGCTGAGACCAGCCAAGAGCCAGAAGAAATAGTCAAGATGACCCTTATTCAGGTTATCTGGTGTCCAACCAGTATGCCCACCTTTTGCTGCGAAGTAAGTTAAAAGAGTTAGAATAAAAGAACTCAGGTAATTCCCCAAAGATGTGGTCAGAAGTGAAAATGCACTACATAAACTTCGCATAGCATCGGGAGATTGATCATAGAAGAACTCGAGTCATCCGATAAATGTGCAGACCTCTGCAGCTCCCAACAAGAAATATTGGGGTATTTGCCAAAAAATACTAAGTGGTACAACAACCTGTTTATCAACCAACCCTAGCTCTTTTGCAAGCTGCAATCTCCTGATCTCCACCACAGCAGCAGCTGACATGCATAGGATGGAAATGAAGAGAACTATTCCCATACGTCGCAACTCTGAGAAGCCCCTCTCCTTGCCTGTGAACTTCCTTGCAATTGGGACAATGACCCTATCATAGATGGGAACCCAGAAAATAACACTGATAACGTCAAAAGTCGAGAGAGAAGCGGGAGGAATAGTGAAAGAACCAATTGATGTGTCCATCATCATCCCTTGTTCCACAAACATAGTTGACATTTGGGCATATACAGCAGAGAAGACAATTCCAGTAGCCCATATGGGAAACATGCGGATCAAGATTTTCAATTCCTCCACTTGTGTTACAGTGCAAAGCTTCCACAGGTTTGGGAAGTCCCCACTTTTGATTTCAGCATCAGTGAGTATAGAAGCTTTATCTAGGCACCTGCAACAAGATGGACTTAGCAAAACTAGTAATGAAAGAAACTGCATAGCTGTTGGGACTTCAATACACTTTTCTTCAAGGCATTTCAATCTTATAAGAAAAAGGGAAACAATGCATAAAGTAGCGTCCCAGCCAAAAATTATCAATCAGAATTCCACTAATTCTCCGCTTTCTCTAGATAAATATGCATAAGTAAAACCATCTTTCCGTGTCATTTTTGGTACGGTAAGTCGGTTCCTTAAATATTCAAGCTATCAAATATCATAATATGTATAACATAAGCTGAATACGCGTAATTAATGATTTCTTATAGTAGTTAATTTTGTCTAAACAGATAGAGAATAGATCAACCTCAATTTAATTGGATTCCCCAAACCAAAAATAAATAAAAAAGAGAATTTATTTCTTCTGTGAAACATGACTAATAGCAAATTACTATAAATGATTCAAAACTCAAAATAGTTAAGTAAATGTAGAAGAAATTTACTTCAACTCATCACTGTGCTCCAGTTTCCTACTTTCTTCAATGGCAGAGTGCTTGTTACCTGTTTCATACAGGAGACTACTGTCTTCAGGTACCTTCAAATTCCATTTACGAAATGATGCAACCAAAACCTGGCACATTCTTGTGATAGGGCTTCCTCCAGGTTTTTGAAATCTATAGAGAGGTGTGCCTGAGAAAAACACTTGCAATAGCAAGGCCCAGAAACAATGCTGGAATGCCAAATCCTAGACCCCATCCAGCATTGTCCTGAATCCACACCAGAAGACTGCTTCATATCAGAGCGCCAATGTTGATAGAAAAATAGAACCAGTTGAAAAAGGACCCCTTCTTCACCCTTTCTTTTGGATCGGTATCATCAAACTGATCCGCCCCAAAGGATGAGACACATGGTTTGATTCTACCAGTCCCTAGTGCAATCAAATAGAGCCCCAAGAAAAATACTGCATACTGAGCTGGTGTAGCTGAGGGACACATAGAACCCACACATTCAGCAGGTTTCAGTGAAGGAACTGATGCTGAGAGAGTCAATGTACACATTCCCTACATCAAATAATAACTGTGTTATCCAATGCATTACAAAGTTAAATCAGCACGAATAAATAAGTCGCCCACTTTAACTTTAATAATATCAGAATTCATTAATCAAGACTATGATTAGAATGATCAAAAGTTGATAATCTCACAAAGCCAAAAGGCAAATTCTGTACCACATGCAGCGATGGGAGGGGTGAAAAAACAAGAGTTATGAATTCCTTCAGATATGTTACAAACTCTTTGAAATTTTGCATAAAAAATGGTAATTAAATCTTTGAAGAGAAGCCAAAAGTTATTCTTTATGAAAAATACACTTAAATACTCAGCAGGAAACTACTAACAATAAAATAGGAGAAACATGAATTTGAATCTTATATATTTAGGTAATTTTTTATTAACATACTTTTTTCAATAAAATAGATTAATTCTAATTAAGCTAAAATAATAATTTATATTATTTAATAAAAAAATTATTTATTAAATATATATATATAAAGTACGGGTACGAGATGAATATTTTATTACGTATCTCCATCTTCATATTCAATTAAAATTTAAAATTATATATATTCTTATCTCTATACCCACAATAAAATATTTATCTCTATCCTCGATTGGATAAAAAATCAAATTTTTTATTAGCTATAGGTAATATTGACATTCCTAATATATCATTTATTACCACTTCATAATCTACAAATTATTATTTTGTATAAAAAATTAACGATTTTTTTATATTTAAGATTGTTAGAATTTATATTTTGAAAATTATATATGATAATTTTAAATTCAATGATAATATAAAAAATTAAAATATTATGATTTAAATTTTAAATAAAAATTAAAAAATATAATTCGTGTTTAATATATCAATATAAATTTAATATAATTTTTTTTATATTTTATAGGTATTTAAAAAAAAAAAACACGACATAAAATATCAACTCTCATCCTTTTTATGTTTGCCCAAATAAACAATACTCACTTAAAAGTAAGATTTTTAACTAATTAAGAACCCATTATTGAAGGTGAATTTAAATAAAGACAAATCCAAAGCTTGAGTTTCTTAAAAGAAAAAAAAAAAAAAAAACATACTTCCATTCTTTAAACATGTTGTACGTGTCAAATTGTTGGTTTTATTTATCTTTTATTCTCAAACTCAAAAAATAAAGAATAATATCGAATTTTTAATTACCATTTTTATTATGGGTTTAGATGTTAAAGGCCTTAGGCCTATTTTCTTTAAACCCATTCTTTTAACGATTTCTTCATATTGGGTTTAGATGTTGAAGGCCTTAAGCCTACTTTAATGATGGACCAACTTCATTCCATTGAAGGGAAAAAGGCCTAACAATCAACTTTTGGTTATGTATACCGACGGAATGTGAATGGGTAGGATATGTGTAGAATAGGGTATTCTCCAATTCTATCTTCTAATTTTTAAATTAGACTTATTTTCATATTTATATTTAATAGATATTTTAAATTTATCTTTATTTTTATTTTTATGAATATTTAATGGGTATAGATAATCTTTATACTAGTAATTTTTTAAAAAAATAAAAACTAAAATTTATTTTTTTAATATTTTTATTTTTATTTTGTATATTTAGATAATTTTTTATTAACATACATTTTTTAATAAAATATATTAATTTTAATTAATTTAAAATAATAATTTATATTATTTAATAAAAATTTTATTCACTAAATATATATAAATACATATAAGGTACGGATATGAGGTGAATACTCTATTATCTATCTTCATCCTTTTATTTAATAAAAATTTAAAATCAAACTCATCATCATCACTATATCAATAATATAATATTTATCTCTATCCCTATTTGGATAAAAAATTAAAATTTTCACTAGGTACAGGTAAAATTAACATCTCTAATATATCATTTATTACCGTTTTATAATCTATCAATTATTATTTTGTATAAAAAATTAACGATTTTTTTATATTTAAGATTATTAGAATTTAAATTCTAATTATTTGAATTAAAAATTCAAAATTTTATTAACTTTTTTTTCAAAATTCAAACCGTATTAATTTTTAATAAATAAATAGTTTATTTTAAAAAAGACGAGCAATAATTATCTTATAGTCATCCCACCAAATTAACTCTCATTAAATCAATTAACTCGCTTGTAACTCTGGTTGAAAATGAAAACAAATAATTAAAAACTCACATAATTAAAAAAGAATCACTGACATCTAACAAATAATTAATTTGAAAAATCCCCCCCAAAAAATGCAATTAACAAAAACACAAAAAATCTTAATCCAAAACATCTTTCAAAATTTTACAATCCAACACCATGCAAGAGAAGACGGATCATGGGACCTAGAAATTTGAGTCATTGATGCAAACTGCAATTGTCAATTAAGAGTTTAATATTTTATTAATATATCGTATAATTATTTGGAAGATGATATTAATTTGATGGTGCCTAAGACTGACTTTAGTAAGAACATATTATAATTGAAAATTGTGTAAGATCTATAAAAATTTTATAAGATGATCACTCTAATTTTTATAATATAATCTTATTTATATATCATAAATGAAGTTTTTTATTTTTACAAGTAGATGTATTAATTTATTAAATGATTAAATAATTTTTAAAATATATCTTAAATGAACAAGTTTCTATCCTTTAAACTTGTTTACCAAATTAAAAACCTTTATGTGCCCGTATGTATTGGACCATAATTCATTTAAAAAACCTATATACAAAGTCAAATACAAACATTCTTATTGGTGATAGCCCCCCACTAAACCTATTATT